TATCTCCAGATCATCCAACCCAAAGAATGCAGATTGTGAGTTCTACAACTTCACTTCCTGAAAATACTCAAAACCCCATTAGTACCGGCGGGACAATGTCGGGGCCCATAGCACCATCGGGACAATGTCAGGGGCCCATAGTAAATCACCAGCGGGACAATGTCAGGGCCCACTAGCACCAGCGGGGACAATGTCACAGGGCCCATAGCACCAGCGGGACAATGTCAGGGGCCCCCATAGCACCAGCGGGGACAATGTCAGGGCCCATAGCACCAGCGGGACAATGTCAGGGCCCATAGCACCAGCGGGCCAATGTCAAGGACCCATAGCACCAGCGGGCCAATGTTCAGGGCCCATAGCACCAGCGGGACAATGTCAGGGCGCCCATAGCACCAGCGGGACAATGTCAGGGCCCATAGCACCAGCGGGACAATGTCAGGGCCCATAGCACCAGCGGGACAATGTCAGGCCCATATCACACAGCGGGACAATGTCAGGGCCCATAGCACCAGCGGGACAATGTCAGGGCCCATAGCACCAGCGGGACAATGTCAGGACCCATAGCACCAGCGGGACAATGTTACGACCCACAGCACCAGCAGGACAATGTCAGGGCCCATAGTAGTACAGCGGGACAATGTTACGACCCACAGCACCAGCAGGACAATGTCAGGGCCCATAGTACCAGCGGGACAATGTCAGGACCCCAGTAAAAACTTCTTATTCCTTGCATTGTACATAATACCCATCTCTCACCCCTCTATCACACTGCCCCCCATCTGTCCATCCATGTCTGGAGGCACCATACACCCCATCCCTCCCCTTCTATCTCACTGCCCCCCATCTGTCCATCCATGTCTGGAGGCACCATACACCACCATCCCTCCCCTCTCACTATCCTCATTGTCCATCTATGTCAGAAGGCACCATACACCCCATCCCATCTAGTTCCGCCAGTAAAATTACTATTACCAGCTACCTCTGAGGAGGATAAAATATATAGAAGGGAGGTGAGGAGGGGATACAACATAGAGGGGGGGTGATACAACATAGAGGGGGTGAGGGGGATACACAACATAGAGGGGGTGTGAGGGGGATACACAACATAGAGGGGCGTGAGGGGGATACACAACATAGAGGGGGATACACAACATAGATGGGGATACACAACATAGAGGGGGATACACAACATAGAGGGGGGTGAGGGGGATACACAACATAGAGGGGGTGAGGGGGATACACAACATAGAGGGGGATACACAACATAGAGCGGGGATACACAACATAGAGGGGGATACACAACATAGAGGGGGGTGAGGGGGGATACACAACATAGAGGGGGTGAGGGGGATACACAACATAGAGGGGGGTACAATACAGAGGGGGGGTGAGGGGGGTACAATACAGAGGGGTGTGAGGGGGGTACAATACAGAGGGGGGTGAGGGGGGTACAATACAGAGGGAGTGTGGGAGGGTACAATACAGAGGGGGGTACAATACAGAGGGGGGGGTACAATACAGAGGGGGGTGAGGGGGTACAATATAGAGGGTGGTGATGAGGGTACAATATAGAGGGGGGTGAGCGGGTACAATATAGAGGGGGGTTAGGGGGATACAATATAGAGGGGGGTACAATATAGAGGGGGGTGAGGGGGGTAAAATACAGAGGGGGGTGAGGGGGGGTAAAATACAGAGGGGGTACAATACAGAGGGGGGTGAGGAGGGTACAATACAGAGGGGGGTGAGGGGGATACAATACAGAGGGGGGTGAGGGGGATACAATACAGAAGAGAGGGGGGGGTGAGGGGGATACAATATTGAGGGGGGTACAATATAGAGGGGGGGTGAGGGGGGGTACAATATAGAGGGGGGTGAGGGGGGTACAATATAGAGGGGGTGAGGGGGGTACAATATAGAGGGGGTGAGGGGGGTACAATATAGAGGGGGGTGAGGGGGGTACAATATAGAGGGGGAGGTGAGGGGGGTACAATATAGAGGGGGAGGTGAGGGGGGTTACAATACAGAGGGGGTGAGGGGGGATACAATACTGAGGGGGGTACAATATAGAGTGGGGGGGGGGGTGGTACAATATAGAGGGGGTGAGGAGGGGTACATACAGAGGGGGATATATAGAGGGGGGTGAGGGGGATACAATATAGAGGGGGGTGAGGAGGGTACAATATAGAGGGGGGGTGAGGGGGGTACAATATAGAGGGGGAGGTGAGGGGGGTACAATATAGAGGGGGAGGTGAGGGGGGTACAATATAGAGAAGGGGGAGGTGAGGGGGGTTACAATACAGAGGGGGGTGAGGGGGGATACAATATAGAGGGGGGTACAATATAGAGGGGGGGGGTGAGGGGGGTACAATATAGAGGGGGAGGTGAGGGGGGTACAATATAGAGGGGGGCGAGGGGGATACAATATAGAGGGGGGTTGAGGGGGATACAATATAGAGGGAGGTGAGGGGGGGATACAATATAGAGGGAGGTGAGGGGGGTACAATATAGAGGGGGGGTGAGGGGGGTACAATATAGAGGGGGGTGGGGGGATACAATATAGAGGGGGGTGGGGGGGGGGATACAATATAGAGGGGGGTGAGGAGTGAAAAGAGCGGACATAAAATACATTATTACCTCAGGCGCCATCCTCCTCAGCCACACCCGGAGAAACACGCCAGTCCCCCATGATCACTTCCCCCCGCCCACTTCACAGAGCGACTTCCGGGGTGGGGCACAAGGAGATGACGTCAACGTGCATGGTATACGGCTTCACAGCAAGTCTCACGTTGTTTTTGCGGCTCCGCCCCCTACCTTCTGATTTGCTGCTGTCTAATTAGGGCCCTCCATCCCCGCCCCCATCTATAACCATCCATCATTCATTTGTTACCTATATAACTAACGATAAATCATACACTAGAGATGATCCAATCAGAAGATAGGGGGCGGAGCCGTACAACCCCGGCGGACATGAAGGCAATGATGGAATTCTCTGTATTATCTTCAGTACAATGGCGGCACTGACAGACGTGTGTGACCAGAGATACAAATAAAGATATGGTATACAAACTAATACATGTCCCACCATACATACTACGGCGCATGTCCGGGCCGCCATCCTTCACAGGTACAAAGCTTCTTCAAGAACTGAAAATTAGGTGAAAACCTCCTCCACAGAGTTCTGTTTCACTTAGAAAATGAAAAAACTGTAGAGAATTCCTCCTTCCCGGCCGATTGTATCGGGAGGAATAATATTCTGTCAGAACTCTGGCAGTCATACCAGGCTCAGCCAGCAGATGGCAGCGCAGTCCTGACATGTAGAGTGCTTAGAAATACAAAGTACTACCACATCCATCCACAAGGCGGCAGCAGAGTACCGGTTATATTCTGTTTATAGAAAAATCAATGTGAGCGCTTCCAGGATCAGCCAGCAGATGGCAGTGCAATAATGTCATATCATGTGCTAACAGATCAATCCACAAGGCGGCGACAAAGTACCTGTAATATTCTGGTATAGAATATAATGCTGAACGCTTCCAGGAACGGCCAGCAGATGGCAACCTAGTAACTATGACGTACGGCGCATGCCCAGTCTGGCGCCATTATGTAGTGGAAAATTGTTTAGAACTTCGAGAAAATGGCGATCACGGCAGACGGAAATGTTTTGTGTCGTGTGAGAGCAGCTGCCATTTTTGTACAGTCTTCAAAAATATGGCCACCATCACAGACATTCTTCTCTTACAGTTTCTCTTCAGGTTTTGGCATTATTTTGGATAAGACAAACTACAGAGGTGATTGGACACAGATGGAAGCGCTGAGCAAACTGCTAGAAACTGCATTTAGAATTACAAGCGCGCGAAAATGTTACTAGGCTCCGCCCCCTCACCATAACTATTAGATAATTAACGTATTTTGCTTTGGGGAAAGAGATGCGATCCTTCACAGCACGAAATATAGAAATATTGGGATCTGCAGAACGATACGATCGACTTTTGTCGACGATCTCCTCGTTCTATATTTTATATAAGGAAAAAAAATCGTGGAGAAACTTTGTAAGCTGAGACATGTCCGCTGTAGCCACCATCTTATTGAGGACCAGAATGGCGGCATGGGCATGCGCAGTAGCATTAAGGAGAATCAGTGCTGCCGCCCTGTGGCCAGAATTAGTATGACTCCTAAGACGTATTAATATAATAAAAACCACGTTGCCGCCTTGTGGATGATCCTGGTATGACACCCATATGATTATTACCAACACTCTGCTGCGTTCTTTGTGGATGATCCTGGTATGACTCCCCATATATATTACCGACACTCTGCTGCCTCCATGTGGATGATACTGGTATGACACCCATATTATTACCAACACTCTGCTGCCTCCTTGTGGATTATCCTGGTATGACACCCATAATATTACCAAACACTCTGATGCCTCCTTGGGGATGATCCTGGTATGACACCCATAATAATACCGGTACTCTGCTGCCTCCTTGTGAATGATCCTGGTATGATTCCCGTGTGTTACTATACACAATATTACCGACACTGCTGCCTCCTTGTGGATGATCCTGGTATGACTCCCTTGTGTTACTGTACACATATTACTGACACTCTGCTGCCATCTTGTGGATGATCCTGGTATGAGTCCCGTGTTACTATACACATTTTACTGACACTCTGCTGCCTCTCCATTGTACCAATATGACAGAAAAACAAATATAAATTGATGGACTTTTCCAATCACTGTCCAAGTCTTGCTGCTTTCTCCTAAAATACATTTCCAAAATGTGCCTCTTCAATCTATCATGAATCCTGCTGCCAGACTCGCCCCAATTTTCTAATTGGCCTCCTTCCAATTTCCTCCACTCCTCTCTACCAATCCCTCCACTGGATTCCTCCACAGATCCGATCCATTCTGCGGGGATCGTCAGAGGGGTGACACCAACCCCAAGGACGCCCCTGACGCCCCTGAGTGTTCTCCACGCCTTTCTGTCAATCCCTCCACTGGCCTCCATTCAGTGTCCTTCACCTCTCTCAACCAATCTCTTCACTGGCCTCCATTCAGTGTCTCTCCACCACTCTCTGCCAATCCTTCCACTAGTCTCCATTCAGTGTCCTGCACCTCTCTCAAGTGTCCAATCTCTCCCCCACTTGGCTCCATTCAGTTTCTTCCACCCCTCTCTGCCAATCTCTCCACGGGCCTTTATCCAGTGTCCTCCACCCCTCTGCCAATCCTTCCACTGATCTCCTTTCAGTGTCCTCCACCTCTGTCAACCAATCCTTCCACTGGCCTCCATTCAGTGTTTTCCACCCCTCTCTCCCAATCCTCCACTGGCCTCTATCCAGTGTCCTCCACCCCTTTCTGCCAATCGCTCTATTGGTCTCCATTCAGTATCTTCCACCCCTCTCTGCCAATCCCTCCACTGGCTTTCATTCAGTGTCCTCCACCCCTCTCTGCCAATCCCTCCATCTGGCCAGCATTCAGTGTTCTCCAACGCTCTCTGCCAGTCCTTCCTCTGGCTTCTATTCAGGGTCTTTCACAACTCTCTGCCAATCCCTCCATTCAGTGTCCTCTCCCCCTCCTTCCACCCCCTTCATTCAGCGTCCTCAATCCCTCTCTGCCAATCCCTCCACTGGTTTCCATCCAGTGTCTCCAACCCTTTCTCCAATCCCTCCACTGGCCTGCATTCAGTGTTCTCATACCTCTCTGCCAATCCGTCTGCTGGGCTTCTATTCAGTGTCTTCTACCCCTCTCTGCCAATCCCTCTACTTGCCTCCATTCAGTGTCCTCCACCCATCTCTGCCAATCCTTCCACTGACCTCCATTCAGTGTCCTCCATCCTTTTCTGTCAGTCCCTCCACTGGTTTCCATTTAGTGTCCTTCATCCCTCTTTGCCAGTCCCCTCCACTGGTTTCCATTCAGTGTCCTCCACCCTTCTGCCAATCCCTCCACTGGCCTCCATTCAGTATACTCCACCCCTCTCTGCCAATCCCTCCACTGGCTTTTATTCAGTGTCCTCCACCCCTCCCTGCCAATCCCTCCACTGACCTCCATTCAGTGTCCTCCACCCCTCCCTGCTAATCCCTCCACTGGCCTCCATTCAGTGTCCTCCACCCCTCTCTGCCAATCCCTCCACTGGCTTACATTCAGTGTCCTCCACCCCTCTCTGCCAATTCCCTCCACTGACCTCCACTCAGTGTCCTCCACCCCCCTCTGTCAATCCCTCCACTGGCCTCCACTCAGTGTCCTCCACCCCTCTCTGCCAATCCTTCCACCCCTCTCTGCCAATCCCTCCACCCCTCTCCGCCAAGCCCTCCACTGGCCTCCATTCAGTGTCCTCCCCCCTCTCTGTCAATCCCTCCACTGGTCTCTATTCAGTGTCCTCCACCCCCTCTCTGCCAATCCCTCCACTGGTCTCTATTCAGTGTCCTCCACCTGTCTCTGCCAAGCCCTCAACTGGTCTCCATTCAGTGTCCTCCACCCACCACTAACAACATACAAAGCCATCCACACCAACTCCCCCAGCTACATCACCAATGTCCTCTCAAACTGTCCTTTCCGCTCCCCCAAGTATTACCGGGGCCCCAAGAAAAGGGTATTTTTTATTTTAGTAATTTAGACAGGTTTAAATAGAAGACATTTGCAAAATGTGGAAAAAAAAACAAATGTCATTCAGAAGATGTCCTATGGAGGGCAGAGCATGTTTGTATTTAATACTTCTATAAAAACAAAGTATATAATATTAAAAAAAAAAAACAACAACAAATTCTTGAAATGAGCACTGAACGGATCGCAGGGCTGAGAGAAGTCTATTCTGTCATGGGGCACTTGGTGGAACCGGAGGAATGGAATTGGAATGGTATATTGGGGGAAGGTGACTAGGGCTGCACATGGTTTGCAGGAAGGGCACTGCAATTAGAGGGTTCCTGAACATAAGCTGGACAGATGGAGGTGACGGTAGGTGTGGGGGAGAGGTGCATCCGAGGGGGTGGTAGGTCTCTCCGTTGGGCAGAGATGCATGCTGTAAGGTAAGTATATATATTTCCTTGGCCTGCATCTCGCGGTCATCAGGTAGAGCGCTGTAGGAGTGGTAGGAGACTGCGACAAAACACCACCCGGGGGTCATTGAGATTCCGGAAAATATCGTTGTCTGGCTGTAGAGATGTTTGCCGCTCTGTCAGTTCCTTCAGAAGTCGCAGGATTTGGTCATTGCATGGAAAGAGACATCCTCTGCTGACGGCGGGGGCACATCGAAGGCCGGATGTTGCTGGCTGTCCTGGCCTTCTGTACTGCTTGTGGAGTCTAGAAAAAACAGAGCAACTTCTACAGATTTGTCTGGATAGAGATAGATGGACAGACCAGACAGGAAGATATGTAGAGAGAATGGATGGAGAGGTTAGAAAGATGGATATTAATATACCTGCGGTGTGCATGGGGCAGAGTTTGCAGCCTCCTCTGGCTCAGCAGGTGTCCCTGGATTGGAATGCCCAGCCTTGCTTTCCTCCTCTTCCACAGCCACATTGGATGTTGCCCTATAGTAAAAAAAATTCCAAATAAATATCATCAAAAAATCTCAATGCGAACACCTACAAAATAAATGGAAGCATTATTCCACCTCTGACCAACTGCTGTCTCCACAGTATACATGGGTTGCACAGACACCCACAGGTACACTCATCGGTGAGCTGCAAGGAGGGGGCAGCGAGACCTGCAAGGTAGGGACATGGGTGAGCTGCAAGGAAGGGGCGGGGTGAGCAGCAAAGATGGGGTGGGTGTGAGCAGCAAAGATGGGGTGGTACGAGCAAGGAAGGGATGTGGGGTAAACTGCAAGCAAGCGGCGGGGGTGAGCCGCAAGAAAGGAATGGGGTGAGGGGCAAGGAAGGGGCATAGGGTGAACTGCAAGCAAGGGGTAGGGGGTGAGTGGCAAGGAAGGGGTGGGGTGAACTGCAAGGAAGGGGAGGGGTGAGAGGCAAGGGAGAGACATAGGGAGAACTGCAAGCAAGGAGCGAGGCTGATCGGCAAAGGAAGTGGTGGGAATAAGCTACAATAAAGGGATGGGAGTGAACTGCAAGCAAGAAGTGAGGGGGAGAGCTGCAAGCAAGGGGCGAGGAAGAGCTGCAAGCAAGGGATGGGGGGTGAACTGCAAGCAAGGGGTGGGGGTGAGCTGCAAGCAAGGGTGGGGGTGAACTGCAAGCAAGGGGTGGGGGTTAGCTGCAAGCAAGGGGTGGGGGGGAGCTGCAAGCAAGGGGTATGGGTAAGCTGCAAGCAAAGGGCGAGAGAGTGAACTGCAAGGAAAGGGCAGGGGGGTGAGCTGCAAGGAGGGGGTGGGGGGAGCTGCAAGCAAGGGATGAGGGAGAGCTGCAAGCAAGGGGCGAGGGTGAACTGCAAGGAAAGGGCAGGGGGGATGAGCTGCAAGGAAGGGGTGAGGGAGAGCTGCAAGCAAGGGGTTAATGGGTAAGCTGCAAGCAAAGGGCGAGAGTGAACTGCAAGGAAAGGGCGGGGGGGGGTGAGCTGCAAAGGAAGGGGTGAGAGGGAGAGCTGCAAGCAAGGGGTGAGGGAGAGCTGCAAGCAAGGGGCGAGGGTTAACTGCAAGGAAGGGCGGGGGGGGGGGGTGAGAGGCAAGCAAGGGGTGGAGGTGATCTGCAAGTAAATGGTGGTGAAGGCAATTGGGTAGGGGTGAGGCTGAGCATGCAAGGGACGAGGGATAGTGAGCTGCAAGGAAAAGGGCAGGGAGGGTGAGAGGCAAGCAAGGGGTAGGGGTGATCTGCAAGTAAGGGGTATGGGTGGTGGCTGCATGCAAGGGACGAGGGTGAGCTGCATTTGCACAAGGGACGAGGGTGAGCTGCAAGGAAAGGGCGGGGGGGGGGTGAGAGGCAAGCAAGGGGGTGGAGGTGATCTGCAAGTAAGGGGTATGGGTGAGCTGCATGCAAGGGACGAGGGTGAGCTTGCATGCAAGGGACGAGGGTGAGCTGCAAGGAAGGGGCAGAGTCAGTGAAGTTGCACAAAGAGTGGATTTGTAAAAACACAGATCCCCATTGTGCGCTTTGACGCTATCGCCTAAAGTTTTTTGGGAATTTGCATGCTTCGATTTTTTATTATTTACATGAAATTAGAAAGGACCATCAATGTACTCAGCGCTTCACATAATCTTCATTCACATGGGGCCCATGTAGGGGCCCACACAAACATACCCAGGCTGCTGAATCCAAGGATGGGATGCAGACCCAGGACCCCAGTGCTGCAAGGCATACGTGGACACTTTGGTAGACTTACTCCCTCGTCTCCATGGCCCTCCGCAGGAAAAGTGAGCTCTCTCGGCATAGGGATGCCTTTTCTTTGTACGGATTGGGGGTTCCATTCTGTGCCGCCAGACGTTCCTCAGGTCAGTTCCCGCCGATAACGGTCGCGGAGTGAGCGCCCATCGTGTGCTCAAATCCTTCCCTAAAATGAGCGCAATCTTATCTCAGACCACATACAAAGCATTTCAGTTCCGGCACCAGTCCACGTTTTCAGAACTATTAGTGCATGGTGGCAGATGGTAAGTGGAATGCCAGCACCCTACTAATCCTCACTCACTTACCTCAACACAGGCCTCCTAATCCTCGCTCACTTACCTCAACACAGGCCTCCTAATCCTCGCTCACTTTACCTCAACACAGGCCTCCTAATTCCTCGCTCATTTTACCTCAACACAGGCCTCCTAATCCTCGCTCACTTACCTCAACACAGGCCTCCTAATCCTCGCTCACTTTACCTCAACACAGGCCTCCTAATCCTCGCTCACTATTTACCTCAACACAGGCCTCCTAAATCCTCGCTCACTTACCTCAACACAGGTCCCCCCTAATCCTCGCTCACTTACCTCAACACAGGCCCCCTAATCCTCGCTCACTTACCTCAACACAGGCCTCCTAATTCGTCGCTCACTTACCTCAACACAGGCCTCCTAATCCTCGCTCACTTACCTCAACACAGGCCTCCTAATCCTCGCTCACTTACCTCAACACAGGTCTCCTAATCCTCGCTCACTTACCTCAACACAGGCCTCCTAATCCTCGCTCACTTACCTCAACACAGGCCCCCTAATCCTCGCTCACTTACCTAAAACAACAGGCCCCCTAATCCTCGCTCACTTACCTCAACACAGGCCTTCCCTAATCCTCGCTCACTTACCTCAAACACAGGCCACCCTAAGTTCCTGCTCGCCCACTTACCTCAACACAGACCTCCTAATCCTTGCTCACTTTACCTCAACACAAGGCCTCCTAATCCTCCGCTC